CAGATGCAGCATATTTTTAAGTTTAATTCCTATTACTATTTTCTTCATCATTTTCTTTAAGTCTGGACACTCAGGAAATGAATCACACCTTCATTCTTAGATTTTGCTGATTTCCATGATGTATGAAAAAATCTTTGGAAAATAGAACATATGGAACATTCTATTTATTGTAAAATCTTTCTACCATGGTCAATTTTAAGTTACCAAGGTGAGATCAGTAAATGCTTTGAGGTAACAAAATATCTTATTTTAGCCTTAGTTCATAATGTCTGAAATTAGTAAATGGAAGTATTAAATTTACCATATTAGTCAATAGCTTATATCCTATACAATAAAGAGTTAATATGCAAATTAATCATCATGCCCTCACAAGATGGCTGCCTATGATCAGGCCAGCAAGGGGGTTAGTGAGGGACAACCAAACAACTGAACAAGCAGGTTGCATGGGGTGACAAGGCCAGTGGAGAGGGGGAAGGGGAGAGGATTGTGAGGGGCAACCAGACCAGATGGGGGGGGGGCAGTTGGGGGCGACCAGGCCAGCAGAGGGGGGGCAATAAGAGGCAACCAAGCTGGCTGGGGGGCAGTTAGGGGCAACCAGGTTGACAGGGGGAGGGCAGTTGGAGAAAGATTAGGCTGGTGGGCATGGCAGTGAGGAGCAACGAGGCCAGCAAGGGGGGAAGTTGGGGCGACTAGGCTGTTGGTGGGAGGGGGGAAGATAGGAGCGACTAGGCCAGCAGAGGAAGCAGTTAAAGGTGATCAGGCCGGCATGCAGAGGCAGTGAAGGGCAATCAGGCCAGCATGGGGGAACAATTAGGGGCAACCAGCAGGCAGGCAGGTGAGCGATTAGACGCCAGTGGTCCAGGATTGTGAGAGGGATGTCGGACTGCTAGTTTAGGTCCTTTTCTCAGGATCCGTCCTAAACTGGCAGTCAGACATCCCCTGAGGAGTCCTGGAATGGAGAGGGTGCAGGTTGGGCTGAGAGGACTCTCCTCCAAGCACAAATTTTGTGCACCAGGTCTCTAGTTTTATATAAAGCTCAAACCTTCTCCCCATGTTCAAATGTAGGACCAGTTGCAAGTGACCCATCTGCTGTAGAAAACAGAGAAAGCATAGTTAGCTTTCTTCATTTTTTTTTAATTGTTGACACTATTAAAGATGTCCTCCCAGCTTTTCTCATTCTTTCCTACCTCCTCTCACACTTACTCATTGCTGTTTCTGACAACCAGGAAACTTCATGGCTGAAAAACTGGAACTACTGTAAAAAAGGTTTGAGCTGTCTGCGCCTAGAAGATGCCAAAGGTATTTCTGTTTCTTATGGGCACATTGATATTGCCCCGTTTTCCCCATTAGAAATAATGGGTCAAATTTCCCATGATAAGGATGACTTATTTTTTTTTCTTCTTTTTTATCCATGTGATGCTTGTCAAACTTGATTTGTTCTGTTGTTGTTGTTACCCTCTGTCTGGGCAGTGTACTCAAATAGACTCTTTCCGTTCTCCTCAGGAATGAAAACAACACCAAGATCCCTCTCTCTCCCACATACTTCTCCTTTAGTCCATGGAAAACACGTGTACACATTTTTATCCAGATAAACTCTACAAGTGAAATCCAAAAGCCAATCTCAACACAAGGTTTACTCTTCTTTCTCCCTTTTATTTTTTCACCCATCTCTTCCTCTTTAAAAAAAAAAAAATCTTTATTGATGAAAGTATTATTTCTTCTTATCTCCTGGATTTCCCAGACAGAAATCAGATAATATTCTATTGTACTGGGCTCACTGCTAGAAACACATATTATGTCCAAGTAGCCCATAGAAGTCCCATTCACTACAATGAAACGTAGTAGCTGACATTTTCCCTTCTTCCAAAATGTATCCTTTGGAAGGGTGAGTGTGTGTGTGTGTGTGTGTGTGTGTGTGTGTGTGTATGTGAAGGTAATATCTAGAAATCTTCACAGAACATCATTTGTCACTCTGTAATTTCTTGACCCTCTTATGTCCTCACAGTGTGTTCAAGGGACCTGTAACTGATTTTTGACATCATTCTTTATACATTCTACATATGATCTGGTAATGACTTTAAAATAGATTATCTATTAGCTTTTAGTACTTCAAACAACATTTCTATGTATTCAGGTTTACACCATAAATGTGGGTAATGTCATTTGTGTGTTTTTTTCCCAATCCACTATCAAAAGCTCTTCTCATATCTTATATTAAGGCAAAGGAAAATTCATTCACATGTCCGTATGTGTTTGGTACATATAGGCAACGTATATTCATCATATTTAACAATTTTAAATGTAGAAGAAAAAAATCATAAAAGATGAAATAAAAACTAATTCTATTTGTTACTCCCCCTTAATTTTTAAATATTTTGGAAGATAGTCTAAAACCAGGAAGTATTTCTAAAAATATTCATTTTTGGTGATGCACAGTAACTCTAGCTGCTTATGTAAAATCCATTTAAATGAGCTTCCTTTCACTTTGGCCCAATGCAAACAAAAACGTGTAGAGCAATATAGACTCTCCTTCACTAGTGTTCTCTTTCCCTCTTTCCTTACTTTGTAAGTTGTGGTCATCCTTTCCTCTCAGCATGAATAAACCATTTTAATTTTAATGGCAGCATGTGTTCATTTCATGAGGTTTTTTTTTCCAGAATTAATCCTCTATCATTGAATATTTTGGTGGGGTTTTGTTTTGTTTCTATATAAACTACACAATGGTGAACAAATTATATGTGTTTTACTTATGTTTATTTTTGTAGATAGATATATCCCCTTTATTAACCAAATAATACTGCCTCTTTTGGTGTGCATTTGCATTTCAACCAGTATTAATCCTGAAACCAAATGTAAACATTCTTTTTTTAAAATATATTTTATCAATGTTTTACACAGAGGAAGGGAGAGGGATAGAGAGTTAGAAACATCAATGAGAGAGAATCATTGATCAGCTGCCTCTTGCACAATTCCTACTGGGGATGTGCCCGGAACCAAGGTACATGCCCTTGACCAGAATCGAACCCGGGACTTTTCAGTCCCCAGGCTGACGCTCTATCCACTGAGCCAAACCAGTTTTGGCCCAAATGTAAACATTCTTAAAATAGAAATTCAGGTTAATGAAAAAGCAATATATTTAGGTTAGATATTACCCACCCCCCCCCGAAAACCTAGTATTTGGATAATTGCCTGTCACTGCACACTATTAAATCTGAGTCAATTTTTTTGTTTGTTATATATATGATAAGCCCTTCCCACATATAAATATTTTGGAAGATAGTCTAAAACTAAGAAGTATTTGTAAAAAATATTTATTTTCAGTAATTCTAGTTGTTTATATAAAATCCATTTAAACTTCTCACATATGGTAAATTAGGTTAGCAAACTTATCCAGCAGTCTTTCTCTGTGTTACATTGGTGATTCTGTATTGTTCCAAAATTATTAGCCAGAGGATTATGAAATAAATAAGTAAAGAAGATAACCAAATAGAAGTGTGATGTTATATTATTTTTTGAAACTTCAGTTCAGGCTCAAATACAGTGTATAGATTTTTAAAAATACATATCTAAGATATCTTATCATTTCATCCCTCCTAATACAGAGGATATTCTGCACATTTTAAAGAAATACAACAATGATCTAGAACATACTTGCTTTTAAAAATAGAAATGCACATTCTAAAAGATAACTGACTTAAGATTAAAAATATACACTTTTATAAAGTAATAGTCTAGAATATTCAATACAATGCACAAAATTACAGATTTTATTTTTTATTACCATAAGTTGGGAATCTAAAAATTAGACCTAAGATTTGTCCCTGCAATTATCTTTAAAAGTGATTTTTATTACATTTTCCCCCCTTGGAATAAGATTGATTCTATATGTGGTATGCTTAAAAAAAATGTAAATAAATAAAACAAACCAACAGCAACAAAACTAAAGCTCAAATTAGTTCTGTTGTTGAAAAAAATGTAATAAATTCCCTTGTGATGCATGCATATGCAGCAGAAATAAATAAATTGGGCCAATGCAACTTTTTTAAAAAATTACAAATTACATAATATTTAGAGAAGCAGTGTTTTACTTAATATTTGATATCAGACAATGGCACTCCGTTGCACAAACCTTTCATAACAGATATTATTGGAGAGGGAGAAAAAAGTGATCCTGTGCCTTTAATTTCCTTTTCTGAGAGAGGGAAGGCTGCACACCACTGACAGGCTCACTTGTTCCCGTCTTTAATGTGCAATCTGTTTTCTCCAGCGGAGGGCACTCAGTGTATCACAAACTCAAGCATTAGCACCAACAAGCTCTGAGCATCATCAGTCTCTGGAAAGCCTTCTGAATTAGACAAGGGCTGCCTCTCAGCACAGCTACAAAACACTTTAAACCTGACCAGCTAAATGGATACACCTAGCCTGCATGGCTTTTAAACTGGGGTCTCAGACAGCACAGGAGGCCTACTTGCTTCAAGAACTGGAAATCCAGAGGATGAATTGCTTTATCTGGGAATGGCAAAAGCCAGCACAATAAGGAATGCCAGGTATTCTGAAGATTTTCTTCTCTTCTTTTTTTTCCCCCTCTCTCGCTCTCTCCGTCTTTTTATAGAGAAGTTGGTTACCTTCAAGATGGGCTGTAGCTCTTTCGCACAGATTGCCAATTACTGCTGATGGGTCTCTGGTGAATTACACAATGGTCCTCAGAGCCTAGAAGCCCTCCCGCATCCCCTTCCTCCCCCCACCCCCCCAGCTTCCTTCTCCCTGCCCCCCATCCCATCCCATGCTAATTTTTTTTTCTTCATATATGTATATATACATTTTTTTTTTTGCCCGTCCTCTCCGGGGAAGTTTGCATGGGGCTCCCAGCTCCCATGCGGGATCGGGATGGTGTGAATGACAGCCGCACTGTGTCATGAAGGTGGCGGTGGTTTCGGCACCAGAGACCAATTAAGAAGAAAGCTGAGAGAGAGGGGGGGACCGCTTTCGGATGACAAAGGATGGGTAAGTGAACTTTTGTTGTTTCCTTAGCCGAGCTGATCCTCTAGGCTTGCTATGCTCAGTCGCGGCTGCTGCGTTAGGAGCTGGTAGAAGGCAGGGGGGGGAAACGGGCAGAAAGCAGCAGCCTCTGAGTTTGCCAGTTGACTCGCTCTGGTTGCTATTATATTTTTAGAGCATGTTCCTTTTCTGTAGTTTTTTTCTTTTTCTTTTTTTTTTTTTTCTTTAAAATTCGTCAATGCACAGCAAGGACTGAACCAGACTTGGGAGGAATTTCTTTCAGACTGCCTCCTCCGTTTGCGCATCCCCAGCCTGGGGCTGGAGCATGAGATAAACATTGTGTTTGCCTCTGTGTCTTGATAACAGGAACTGGTGCGTGTGTCTCAGTCGGCCCTGCAGGAGGGTAGCTAACACTTTGCTGCATCTGTGGCGGGTGGGGTGGGGTCCTTACTTTCTCAGAGGTCGCACAAGGGCTTGCTTGATCTCTGGAGCTGCATCCTGACCAGGGCATCCGAATTTCCAGCAGTCATTTGCCCTGCTTCTTTTTTTCAAGTGTGACTGGCTCCCCCCCCCCCGCCCCCCCTCCCACACACACACCTCCATCTGCCCCCCTTCCCCTGTCTGGGAGGGCTGGAATGTATTTCAATGAGCCTGTAGCTGGCAAGAGGACAGAGAGCAAGATCGGGTTTCAAATAGGAAGGAAAAAAAAAAAAAAGAGTTAACTGGTTGAATAAAAGGAGAGGTTGTTTTTTTTTTGCTTAGAGGTTTGGCTGATTGCCTCTCTCCGTTAAAAAAAAAAAATGAATATTTAAGGGAAATATTGAAACCGTAGCACACAGTTTTTGTTGTTTTTTGTTTGTTTGTTTGTTTGTTTTTCCTTTCCTTCTTCCTACCAGGAAGAACTAATAAATCCACGGTTGACAGGGGGAAAGAAATCCCTTAAGATACTATGACTTGGCAATGCAGCCTCAGTGCCCACAGATTGCAACTTTGTGGGTTTTCCGGAGTTAACGGGGGGCAGGGGAGGAATGGAAAGTCCATCAGGCGTTTGAGCAGGCTGGGATAGTGGGGAGGGGGCTGGCAGCCTGCCTCTCCCTCCTTGTTGATCCCCCACATTTGCAAAAGCAACTCTGTTAAATGTAACGGGAAAGCGAACACGACGCGGGCTTGTTTTTCACCTTGATGCAGATATTTTAAGGAGAACCTGAGGATCTTAACTTCGGAGTGTTTTGCGGTAGCCACAGTCAGGATCCTGAGCTGTGTGTATCTCCCTGGGCAGAAGAGCTACGGAGGCAGCTCTTCCTGGAGGCTGAGGTACCTTGGCTGTAATTAGTCTTCTTACCAGGCTTCCCTGGCTGCCTGTGCTGGTGCCAATGCCTTTTTTTTTTTTCCTTTCCCAGAGCTCAAACACTGTTTTTCTGTTATGCAATAATGATACAGTTTCAGGCAGGGCAGACTCGGATTCCCTTGACATAGGACGGAAGCTCCTTTGCCAAATCACAGCCTGCGTACTCCACTAGGAAAGATGTACACGCATGGGGGCTTAGGAAGCCACTTTTTTTTTCCCCTCCCATTACCACAAGTACTTGGTACTCCCCCTTTTGGTATTGGTATTCCACACTGACAGTAGTAGCCAAACACTACTGTTATTAAAATGTCGGCATTCAGCAACGAGCCGGGCTCCGTGCTTTTCTCTGCTGATGCATGCATGAACTCCTGAAACTCGGGATAGCTGCTCACGGGTCCGCAGCTCTGTGGGGATTGCAAAAAGCCAGGAAGAACGAAGGAAGCCTGCGAGGAAACAGGCAGCCCTAAAGACAAGAGAAGCTTCCCATGTGAAAGGCATGCTTCTGAGATCGGCTGTCCCGACCCTGCACTTGATGGGATGCTCTTGATCTCGGAGAGCTGGGGAGGATCGGTCTGAATAGCTTCATGATGTGCATTTGTCTTCTTTTTAACACTGTAGGTTTCCGCTTCATGACGCAGCTGCGAGGCATGCGCGCGGTGCCGGCGCTCCTTTCCGCGCTGCTGCTGGTGATGCTCGCGGGGGCCCAGCGAGCTTGCCCGAAGAACTGCAGGTGCGATGGCAAGATCGTGTACTGCGAGTCCCACGCGTTCGCAGACATCCCGGAGAACATCTCTGGAGGATCCCAGGGCTTGTCATTAAGGTTCAACAGCATTCAGAAACTCAAATCCAATCAGTTCGCTGGCCTTAACCAGCTTATATGGCTTTATCTGGACCATAATTACATCAGCTCCGTGGACGAGGATGCGTTTCAAGGCATCCGCAGACTGAAAGAATTGATCCTGAGCTCCAACAAAATCACCTACCTGCACAATAAGACCTTCCACCCCGTTCCCAATCTCCGCAACCTGGACCTCTCCTACAACAAGCTGCAGACTTTGCAGTCGGAGCAGTTCCGAGGCCTCCGGAAGCTCATCATCTTGCACTTGAGGTCCAACTCCTTAAAGACGGTGCCCATTCGAGTGTTCCAAGACTGCCGGAACCTGGACTTCCTGGACCTGGGTTACAATCGCCTCCGCAGCTTGTCCCGAAACGCCTTCGCGGGCCTCCTGAAGCTAAAGGAACTCCACCTGGAGCACAACCAGTTTTCCAAGATCAATTTCGCCCACTTCCCGCGGCTCTTCAACCTGCGCTCCATCTACTTGCAATGGAACAGGATTCGCTCCATCAGCCAGGGCCTGACGTGGACCTGGAGTTCCTTGCACAACTTGGATTTATCGGGGAACGACATCCAAGGGATCGAGCCGGGCACGTTCAAATGCCTGCCCAACTTGCAGAAGCTGAACCTGGATTCCAACAAGCTCACCAACATCTCCCAGGAGACTGTCAACGCGTGGATATCCTTAATATCCATCACGCTGTCCGGCAACATGTGGGAGTGCAGTCGGAGTATCTGCCCCCTCTTTTTCTGGCTTAAGAATTTCAAAGGCACCAAGGAGAGCACCATGATCTGTGCGGGACCCAAGCACATCCAGGGGGAGAAGGTCAGCGATGCGGTGGAAACCTACAACATCTGCTCCGAGGTCCCGGTGGTCAACACGGAGAAGTCCCACCTGGTGCCCCACACGCCCCAGAAGCCTCTGGTGATCCCCAAGCCCACCGTCTCCAAATCTGACCCCTTGCAGTCCACCCTGGGGACACCCAGCCCCTCCCCGGCGTTTCCGATCCCCGGTGCAGAACAGGATTATGAGCATGTGTCCTTTCACAAGATCATTGCCGGGAGCGTGGCCCTCTTCCTCTCGGTGGCCATGATCCTGCTGGTCATCTACGTGTCCTGGAAGCGCTACCCCGCCAGCATGAAGCAGCTGCAGCAGCACTCGCTCATGAAGAGGCGGCGGAAAAAGACCAGGGAGTCTGAGAGGCAGATGAATTCCCCCTTGCAAGAGTATTACGTGGACTACAAGCCTACAAACTCTGAGACCATGGATATATCCGTTAACGGATCTGGGCCCTGCACATATACCATCTCTGGCTCCAGGGAATGCGAGGTATGAACCATGATCCTCCTAAAAAGCATTTCTACTGCGGGAAAGGAGAGGTAAATGAATGTTTGCAAGCGCTTAGAGGTGTCTCTAAATCACTAGAAAGAGGAATGACCCTTTTGCTTTTGGGTTTTGCTCGGTGTGAAAGGTTATACTTAAATTAAATTCCGACGACCAGGAAATTGACTGCTTTTTTTGTTGTTTGTTTGTTTGTTTGTTTGTTTAATGGTTGAAATTTGCAGGAAGTTCATTCAAGGATGAGAGTAAGTTGGAATAAAGTGCTATGTTGCAACATCTATTTTTTTTAAAACCAGTTTGTATACAGGGATTGGACTTAACCCACATACACACAAACAAAACTATTCTAAGATTTCTGTCTGGTTCTTGTTTTGACTTTTGTGATGGAGTAGAGAAGGAAAGGCCAGCTTAAGTTAAAAGCAAAGTGGTTTTACCAAAATTTCCAGGAGGTAATGAAGATTTAAACCAAAGAGCAATCTATCCAAGGGTTGATTTTGTTGTAAACTTTTAGTTTTAATTAAAGCATGCAACAGGGATCTCACAAGGATAACTGCTTTTTTTTTTCTTTCTTTCTTCTTTCTTTCTTTCTTCCTTCCTTCCTTCCTTCCTTCCTTCTTTCCTTCCTTCCTTCCTTCCTTCCTTTCTTCTTTCTTCCTTTCTTCCTTTTTTTGTTTTTGTTACCTGCCATTTAGTTATTATACCAGCATAGAGAATGTCAGAGGCCTACTGTGTAATAGTATAAGGCTTTTAAATATGTCCTCCCTTCCTCTCTTCCCTCCTTCCCTTTTTCCTTCTTCCCTTTCTTCCTTCCTCCCTTCCTTCCTCCCTTCCTTCCTTCCTTCCTTCCTCCCTCCCTCCCTCCCTCCCTCCCTCCCTCCCTTCCTTCCTTCCTTCCTTCCTTCCTTCCTTCCTTCCTTCCTTCCTTCCTTCCTTCCTTCCTTCTTTCCTTCCCTCCTCCCCCCTTCCTTCCCTCCTCCCTCCCTTCCTTTCTCCTTTCCTTCCTCCCTTCCTCCCTTCCTTCCTCCCTCCCTCCCTTCCTTCCTCCCTCCCTCCCTTCCTTCCTCTCTCCCTCCCTCCCTCCCTCCCTCCCTCCCTCCCTCCCTCCCTCCCTCCTTCCCTTCCTCCTTCCCTCCCTTCCTTCCTTCCTTCCTTCCTTCCTTCCTTCCTTCCTTCCTTCCTTCCTTCCTTCCTTCCTTCCTTCCTTCCTTCTTTCCTTCTTCTCCCACTCCTCCTTCTTGTTTTTGTTTGTTTTTTAGTTATCAGACATAGATCACTTTTCAAGGGTTTTCTTAAGTGCTGGCTATTTGTATGTAATCAGAATGCAACTTAAGTTTCATTTTTGGGCTATATCCTAGGAAACTAAAATCAGGTCATAATGCTGTGGATGATTTAGCAGTAACATAATGACAGGCAAGACAGGGGCTGTTTGTCAGTGTTGCTGTCATCCCCAAAAGAAATGATGTGTATTCTTGTGAAACTTATCCAAAAGTACGCGATGCAAATGTACATAAATAAAAAAAAGAGAGATTTGGGTTCTGGGTACTAGCCTTTCTGTGTCATTTGCCTCAAATGAAGGCATTTCATGTTAACTCTCTTCATTTTCATGAGAAAAAGTTTGGGCTCAGTTTCTGATTATTTATTTTAAAGATCACTTATAGGAACATGTTTATCAATAGAAAAATAGCCACAGATTTCAACTTGTCAGTAAGTAATGCTGGATACAAATTATTCTTGGTAAAATTGATCAGAAAGCTCAAAGACTGTGAGTGCCAGTGCCTTGTTGCTGGAATAAAAGAGTGAAGAGAGGTTAAGTTCTGGCTATGTGGTCTTAATATCCAATTTTAGATGATTACTTTTTCAATATAAAAAGTTTTCATGAGTATTTAAAGACATTGCTCTTTTTAATACTAGTTATAACAGTTAAAATATATGTTCTTTGATAATGTATACCCAAATCTTTACATAGTCTAAATGTAGATGCTAATGCAAATGTTTTCAGACATACACTGAGTTTGAAATAATCTCTAACTCAGTATAATTTTCTATATTAAGCTATTCTTCACAGAGTTCATTTTCTCTTTTTTAGTCCATGACTGAAAATGAGAAAGGTAACCTCGGATAATAAATTTCTCCAAAATACTTGTATATGCAGTTGCCCTTAAACATTAAAGAGAATAAAAGATTTCATATAAAAGTCTATAGAAAGATGTCTTTATTACAGTCTGACACTTATAGAAGATATGTGAATATTAGCAAAATAAATTCATCCTGTTTTATTCTAGATTCTTATAATTTGAGATTCATTTAAAGGCTAGTGAACTAAAAAGAAAGGAAAACTCCATGTTCATTCATTCATTTTCTCTTGACTTTTGTAATAGAATGGTGAATTCTTAAAGAACTTGGATTAAGAACTATGGGTCCAAAACTTTTCCAGATTATTTTTTCAAAGACCCTAGGTATTACCATAGTTGGAAAAAGATAAAAAATCACTTTATTCTGTGAAAACGTGTTTAAAAACACAGTTTGATACTATATACTCTATGAGATTTGAGTTTATGATAATGAAGTTGCATTGTTGGGGTAAGGTAATAAGTAACATTTAGTTAAATGTTATAAGAATTTGTTGTGTTAAAATGGTCTGAAGTTGACCAAACTCTGTGTATCCTAAAAAGTAGAAAATGGTAGGCTATCCATTTAAGAATATAACTCCACTTTCCATTTTAAGGGGTCCAATCAAGCCACATTTAAATGACTACTAAATTGTTTTGAAACATAAGCATGCAAAAACCACTGTCCATTTCTGACAGGTCATAGTGATGGGTGGATATAGCAAATGAGGGAAAGCAAATTTTTATAAATTGTTATGAAAACCATAATTTTCTCTTACTTCTTGGTCATCCTGGAGTAAAATTTCTCCTGTTGAGAAAATTCTCTGCAATATGAACCCAAGCAACAGGAATGATTTGCCCAAGACAATGATTTCTTAAGACAATAGAGGTATGATAAATTTTAGTCTGCTGTTGTTTTTATAATGCTTACATATCAATAGAGAATCATTACTGTATTTATAATTTTGTGAGGTAGCTTTTTTCTTATTCAAAATGTTCAACTGTACCCAACAAAGCCATACATATTTAAAACACTTAACACCAAATGCTAATTTTCCAAGATAGTGCCTTGAAAAAAGTTTCATTAAATTGAAAATTCCACTTATACACAAATGTCATATTTAGTTAAGATCTAAACAGTGAAAAATATTCATGTGTATTTCTTTTAAGAAGAAAATAAAAATATTAACATGTATGATTAGAATGATGTCTGTGAGCCACCACACAAATATAGCATGCAATATACAAAGTAAGTAAGTTGGGCTCTATTCTTTACAGAATTTAGTTTTGACAAGTCCATGTGCACATTCTCTGCTAATAAATTGAAGGAGAATATTATAATAAGTTAGGCAGTAAAAATCACTTGTATCTATAAAAAAAGAATAGAGTAGATAGTTATGAATAATTAATATGATATATGGCACAACTCTAACAGATATATACTTCTCAATCATCAGACTTTGAGTGGATCAGTGTGTGTGGTTGAATTGAATCATTTAATTTGTCCTCACTATGTTATCAGAAAAGATAACTTCAAGCCAAATGGTCACAGCTTTGCCTAAAACTTCATAAGGTATCATTAAAAGAGAAAATTGCTAATGCATACTTTGAAGCTAGCTTGTGAACTTTTGCATAGCTTTATCTCATTACAAAGTATATAGGATTGTAAAGTCACTTCATTCTGCATGCCAAAATTTCAGGTAGAGATGATATACCTGGTTCTTCTAGGATGTGTTTATCAACTGGAAATAGCAAGGACCTTTATAAAATTAGTCATTGGGAATGCAGTATAAGAGAGAACATTTCAAGTTTGTATTTTTAATTTAAAAAAAAGAAGTTGGTAAAAATGAATGAGATCCTCCATCCAAGGTTTTTAAGAATTAAGTTATTGAAATATAAAGTTTAATTACCCCATAGTGCTAAAAGTACTGCTATTAGGAAAATGGGAATATAGGTGACATTAGTTATATATTTTTCAAATACTTGATATTTTGTTATATTCTTCAGAGTCGAGTTCTTATTAGGGGCTTTCATTATTTCTTTCACTGCTGTGCAGTGGGTTGTATAGACCATTACTAACAGTTTATATTTATTGAATGTATTAGGTCAAGTTCAAACTATTGACCTAAAAAAGTTATTAACATCTTTCTACACTTTAGAAGTTGACATTTTGAAGTACACTGAATGAATTTCGAAGAACTAAAAAGCATAATATGTTCAAAGAGGATTCTAAGTGGAGCAGAATCAGTATCATTGAGTTAAATTTACAAATTACCAATATAAAGTTACAGAAAATAGTCTTTATTTTTGGTGGCTGTCTACTGTTGTATTATGTGAAAATGTTATCATTGAAATTATACTTTGTATATTCACATAATGTATATTTATGTGTATATATATATATGTGTGTGTGTGTTTGTATGTTTTCAGAGAGAGTGAGGGAAGAAGGAGGAGGGGAGAGAGATAACATAAATATAATTCTATTAAAATTTTTGTCCATTTTGAAGATTTGACATATTAGTGAAAAAATACAGTTTTAAATTATCAGAATTTGTTATTAACATACTTCTGAAAATGTATATTTAATCCTCTCTAAAATTGTAAGTATCTAATGTCTAGATAGTCTACTATTCTTTCTGTAAAAAAAAAAAAAAAACAGGATTTAAATTACACATGGTCATATTTGGTGTGACTTTGGACTGGTTACTCCATTTCTCTGTGATCCATCACTGAATTGATCTATCCAACTAGCACAGCATAACTCAAATCAAAACATTTCTCAGATTAGTAAACTTTGTAAAATTTCTCTGACCAATCCCAGGACTACAAGCGCAAGATGAGAGATGCTTGAGAAACTGAGCTATTTATATTCATTGTCAA